ACAGCCCAGGCTGGGCCAGGGCGAAGCCATGAGCCTAGAACTCCGTCTGGATCTCCTACTTGGGTGTCAGAGGCCCAAGGACTTGTTTCCCTGCTTTCCCAGGTACATTGACAGGGAGCTGGGTCAGAAGTGGAGCAGCCAGAACTCGAACCAGCACTCATATGGGCTGCCATTTTCCTTTTTCTTAGGAACTCCTTGTTGATTCTACCTTGACCACATCAAAGGCTCATTATATGAAGGTACTTCAAAAATTTTACTTAAAAAATGGAATTAAAATATAAGTTTGGGGTGGGTGCTGTGGCACAGAGGATTAAGCTGCTGCTTTGGGGTGCCAGCATCCCATATTGGAGTGCCTGGGATCCAATTCAGCCACTTCACTTCCAATCCAGCTTCCTGCTGATATACCTGGGAGGCAGCAGACAACGGCCCAAGTACTTGGGTTCCTGGCACCCACATGGAAGGCCCAGATGGAATTCCTGTTTCCTGGCCTTGGCCAGCCCCAACCCCAGCTGTTGTGTGCATTTTGGGGAGTGAACTAATAGATTCTCTCTCTCTCTACTGATTTATCAGAAGGCCAGATAAAGAACTTTGGTGACACTGAAGTTTAGCATGAGTGACTGGTTTGCTGAGGTCTAGTTACAGGATGCCAGTCTAAAACAATGGTTCCTGATAAATTTTAATGAACACAGTACTAACTGATATTTGTCTTACAACTTTCATGGGAAGCCATAGTCTCATTTCCTCTCACAAACAAGGCCTGTCCCCTTGTCCCTGGCTTTCTCTCTTGTGTCCTACCAAAGATCAGACTTTGGGAAATTCTGGCCTGCCTGGGTGGTACAGTTCCATCACCCTGCTATTTCTTTGTACTCACCATGAGCTCCTGACACATTCTGACCAACAAGGATGGACAACTCTTCAGGGTCGTTCAAGAGCTCCGAGAAGTTGCCCCCTGCTTTTCCTCTCCCGCCACCCATGTTACTGGTGTCTGCTTAGAAAAGAGCTAGTGGTGTAGATAACCCAGGGGTGTGCAAGTGGTTTGTGTGAGTCAAGGGGGAGGGACAGGAATCAGCCACTTTGGGCTCAGGATGGAGCAGGAAGCAGGACTACTGGGGAAGCACGGATTCATTTTTCTCTCGTTCTGTGTCCTTCCTGAATCCTCAGAGGTTAGAACAATGCTTGGCCCCCAGTACACACTCAATCTATGATTAATAAAGAATGCTTGATGGCATTGTCAGAGCAGGGAGGGGGAGAAAGAAAAGCAAAATGGTTGAGTACCCACGATGGAATCATTTACAGCAGTTATAAACAAAGGACCAAGTGTGCACACAGCAACATGGTTGGACCTTTTGTGAGGACAAAGCAAATGAAAAAAATTACATGCAACATTAAGGAACCACTACACAGAAAAAAAAGAAACTATGCATTTTACAAGGTACACATACATTCAGGATAAATATGGAACACATTGGACAGGAGGCCGCCAGAATAGGGATAAAAGGAAACAATTAAGACCAAAACAAAGCAAGAGAGAGGACTTGCACCCACTCAAATGGACAGAAGGCTATGACTTGAGATTAACACCTAAAGATTATTTAACATAGAGAATATGATTTTGTTTCATGCAAAATGTTTTGAGGGGCCAGTGTTATGGCACAGTGGGTTAAGCTGCATCCTGCAACACTAATATCTATATGTGCGCAGGTTCACGTCCCAGCTGTTCCACTTCTGATCCAGCTCCCTGCTAATGCAATTGGGAAAGCCACAGAAGACGGTTCAAGTCCTTAGGCCCCTGGAAGAAGCTCCTGGCTCCTGGCTTTGGCCTGGCCCAGCCCAGGCTGTTGCAGCCATCTGGGGAGTGAACGAGTGGATGGAAAATGTCTTTCTGTCTCTCGCTCTCTGTAACTCTTTCAAATAAAACAAAATAAATCTTTAAAAAAATGAGTACCCAGAACAGGTTTCAAATATGTATTTTTTTTCTGAGAAGCAGAAAATTTTTCCACAGTTATTTTAAGGCATAAGTGACATAGGATGAACTGGATATCTTTAAAATGTACTAGTTTTGAAACTGAACCCCTTCCCTAAAGCCTTGGAGGTAGAGTTTGTCAGGTCACAGTCTCTCTTCTTCAATATGCGGTTCCCCTGTCTCTGCTACAGTGGTTATAATTCATCTCATTACTAAGGATTAACTCACTACAATAAGGGAGCAGGACAAGGGGCCTGCTGGCCCCACAAGACTCCAAATTGCAACTCAGAATCCCTGTATCGCCTCTGTGGCTAACATCCTATTTTGAGATGTTCTGCAGGAACCTCAGGCCCCAATCTAACCAAGTAGTAACCAATCCACTTGTTGGACTCAGACAGGTGGGCGCCCCCTTTGCCAACACAGTGATTTCAGAACACACTGGCCTGCTGTTACTGACTGATCCAAGGCACTGGGAACCAACAGGAGACCTGCACACCAGTTGCTCATGCACCGTTCAACCCAGCTCTAATCTGTAAGAATCGCCACCTTTAACCCTTTGGAGAATCTGGGAATTAGTCCATCGTGGCCTGACAACTCCCTGCTCCACATTTTGCAAAATACACACTGCTTCCCCAGAGCCAGTGCCTGGCTTGCTGCACATCCAGTGGGCAGACCCAGTTTGGGCGGTTTTGTAACGATTCCTCTACAGGTTTGAGGGGTGTTCTTTAATAGTTGTGGGGGGATGTTTGGCCTAGTGGTTAAGATGCCTATGTCCCACATCAGTGGGCCTGGGTTCAATTTCCAGCTCCAGTTCCTGACCTTGGAAGGCATCAGTGAATGTTCAAGTGATTGAGTCCCCACCCGCTGTGGGAACCCTAGGTTGAGTTCTTGGGTTCGACTTGTTCCAGCCCTGGCTGTTGTGAGCATTTAGAGAGTGAATCAGTGGACGGGAGTGTGGAGTTCTCCTTCTCTCTGTCTCTCAAGTGAATGAAAAAAAAATCTTTTAAATAAACATACAGGTTTTGGCACCTGTGAAACCATCCCCACAGTCCAGTGCTGTCTGACTCACTAGGCATAGTAGGCATTGTTCATGGGGTTCCTAAGAATGTTTTATTTCAGGGGCCGGTGCTGTGGCGTGGTGGGTTAAGCTCTGCCTGCAGTGCTGGCATCCCATAAGGGCATCACTTTGAGTCCCGGCTGCTCCATTTCTGATCCAACTCTCTGTTATGACCTGGGAAAGCAGCAGACAACAGTCCAAGTGCTTGGGCCTCTTCATCCATGTGGGAGACCTGGAAGAAGCTCTTGGCTCTTGGCTTTGGATAGGCCCAGCTCCAGTCATTGCGAGCATTTGGGGAGTGAACGAGTGGATGGAAGACCTCTCTCTTCTTTCTCTCTCTGTAACTTTGTCCCTCAAATAAATAAATCTTTAAAAAATGTTTTAATGTATTTTAAATTCCAAAGAAGTAAATGAAATTTTATATCAAATATTTTATATAATGAGATTTTACACTATGCAGCTATAAAATACTTTTTATATTAATATGTTAAATATTTTAATATTAAGATTTTTACAAAGGAAGCGGTCCACAAAAGTAAAAGTGTTCAGGGCCAATGAAAGTCATCACACAGCCCTGCCATTTTCCTCATTTCTTTGTGTGTCTGTCTAACCACTATCCCTTGCCCAGCCTCCTCCCCCATTCTCAGGCAAGCATCGATCTTTCTTCTGTCACTGTAAACTGGTGGTCATTTTCTAGCATTTATACTAAGGTACTTCAAAAAGTTCATGGAAAATGAAATTAAGAGATATTTACTTTGGTGCAAAAATTTTTCAGATTGGGAGATTTTCAAAAAGCTCATGGAACATGGATATTATGAAAAAAATGCATTGTTTTCAAAAGTTTTTGCACCAGAATAAGCTTATCAGCGCAGGTGTGGCACAGTGGGTTGGGATGCCCCCAGCCCAGTTTGGAGCACCTGGAATTGAGTCCCACCTCTGCTTCCAATCCAGCTTCCTGTTCATGTGCATCCCGTGAGGTAAGCAGATAGTGACTCAAGCTTTCCTAACGGGAAGCTCCGATGGAGTCCTGGCTCCTGGCTTTGGCCTGGACCTACCCTGGCTATTGCTGGCCTTTGGAGAGTGAACTAGTAGTTGGAATATCTCTCTTGTAATTCCGTCTTCCACAAAGCCTTTGAAGTATATTGATATAAATGGAGTCATCCAGCACTATCCTAATTGAGCTTCTTTTACTTGGCATAATTACTTTGAGATTTGTATTACTCTATCAGTGTTTCCTTCCTTTCATTCTTGTACTTGCTGAGTAATAGTCCATTGTGTGACTTTATCTTGCACCTGTTTGTTGACATTTGCGTTGTTTCCAGTTCTTGGCTATTACATATAGCGCTGCTATGAGTATCTCATGAACCGCCTTTGAGTGGGCATACGCTCTGGTTTCTCTGGTTCATACACAGGAATGGAATGACCGGGTCATATTGCAGTAGTTTAGCTTTTTAAACAGACTGCTGAACTGTTCCAAAGTGGATGTACCATTTTCCGTTCCTACCAGCAGAAGTGCTTGAGTGTTCTAGTCCCTCCACATCCTTGCCAATTTGGAATGGTCAGTCTTGAAGTTTTAGACTTTCTAATATGGGCATAGTACTCTCATTGCATTGTTAATTCGTATTTCCCATCGCAGTCCCAGAAGAGACCGGAGCCTGGGCAGCATCTGAAAAAGGGACTGGTCGTTCAGGACTCGGCTCTGAACCGGAACTTGGTCCTCAGGGGCCTGAGTGGGAACCGTAGCTCAGGTACCTACCGATCACCTCTCACTGCTCCGGAGGAACCAAGTGACCTAGGGTCATCTCCGTCGCCGCTAGGGGGCGCACTGATCAGTCGCTTGCCCTGAGCCCGCTGGCCAGGACCGGCCGGTCAGCTCCAGGTGCGCCTATCCCCTTCCACTACTCCTCGGACCCGGATGCCCGGGATCTCACTGCAATCTAAGTGAATTCTAAAGGGATTATTCTAGCGGAACCAGAAGGAAACAAGAAAAATGAAAAAGCGATACCTCAGCTGTTTCCGCCCGGTTTCGAACCGGGGACCTTTCGCGTGTGAGGCGAACGTGATAACCACTACACTACGGAAACCCGCTGGAGGACAGCCCTTCGCGAACAACCCTTGAAGCATAGCGGTTCCTCACCGTGTTCCCTGATCTGGAAGAAAGTCCCCGCTGGGCTTGCCACAGCTCTAGTCTCACCATCGCCCCGGGAAGCAGCCAGCAAGCCCAGGTCAGGCCGGGGGTGCTGCGCGCGCACACCTGGTGATTCCGATGGTGCCCCTTCAGGAACCTTCCACATGTACGGCTCTAGCGCGACCCCGAGGCCGTGGGCCAGGGCCCAGGCTTCCGTGGAGCCCTTGGTGACGTTTTCGGGACCCTCTGGTTCCCGAAGGAACGCTCGGCCGGCCGGGCTCAGCCCCTGGCGGGCACTTGAGCGCCTGCGCCCCGCCGCGGGGACTGCGGGTGGGAAGGGACCTCGGAGCCCGCCGTGGGCGGAAGGGGAGCCGGCTCGTATTTAGACAGAATAAAAGCATTCTGGTTTGTCCAGCCCTTCACTTAGAAGGCACGCACACTCTCGCGGTTCGTTTTTGTAACTCTGCTGCGAGGAAAGCATTCAAGCCTGTTGTAAAGGGGCTGAAACGGAAGTGACTCGCCTAGGACGCAACAGCCGCGTTTACCCTGGAAGCGGCTGCGCCCTCAGCTCAGGTCTCTGGATTGCACCTTACTGTCCCAGGAGGCCAGTGAAGAGCAGAGGACGGAGAGTTGGACTGGAGCGATTGGGGCTGTCTCTGTAGAGGGGAGGCAGAACCCCCAAATATGTTGTGTGATATTTGAGGGCAAACGGTCTCATCTTCTCCACCTGTTGGGGATGCAATGTGAGGCGGTAGGGGGTGCAGGCAGTCGGGGTCGGGGGGACGTGTGAGAAAGGCATTAGGAAGTCAAGAAGAGAGGGGTGCGGGACTCGCGGGCTGTTCAGCGAACGGATGTCGGGGTGTGGGGGATGGCAGACTGCTCTAGGCGCGCTCAGCTGGCAAGAGCCGAGAGGAGGAAGCTGGGTGTGGGATGTACAAACAAAGGCCCGTGGATGTGATAGTGTAAAGAACTTCAGGGAGTAGCTGACCGTGGGCTGATCCTGTGTAGAACGTGAAGAGACGCAGGCAGGTCTAACGGACTGAAAGCTAGGCAATAGCAGAGATGTCATAGGTTTGAGGAGACAAGGATCAGAAAAAGAGATGGAGGAACTATGTTACCAGTCCCTCTCTTAGGGTTGCCTCTACGATGCCTCCCATGGCCACACCTGAAATCAATATTTTGGCAAAGCCAGCAGGAAGATATCCAACAAGGCTGAGGCCCACTGTGTCCCCAGGACGACCTGTAGCGTATTATACCTGATGCCGTGACACTGCAATGACTTTTGCCTTAAAAGAGCAGTCATCAAATTCCTGGAAACTCTGCTCTTATTTGGAAAACTAAACCCAAAGCACCAGTTCACATTTAAAACGATGACCCTGAACTCCACGGGTTGCGGTTCCTTCTAGAGTGTGCCAGCACGCCCTCTGAGTTACTTTCACTTTGCTAATAAATCTTAACTCCTCTTGCTAACCCTTAGCTGTGTCTTGTTCTCTGCTTCTTTCATGCATCAGAGCCAGGAACCTGGATCCCTTGACCCCCACAACAGAGAGCTTATCTATTTAAGGCACTATAAGAGGAAATTCATTTTAATTGGCTAAATAATAAAGAGAAAAGGTTACCTCACAGTCCTGGGTAGATCTGGCCTTCAAACAAGTCGTTACACAGGCTTAGCACCTTTTTGGTGTTTCTTGGTCCTTCCTTGATGTGGATGCCATTCTCAAGCAGACTATCCACTCGTGTTCTCAAAATGCCTGCCTTGAGTCACTTGGGCTACAAGTGTGCTCTGTTCCCATCTTGCAGGAAAAGTGTTTATCTCTTGCAGAACTCATTATTGGCCAGCGATTGTGCTATGTATGAAAAAGGATGAAATAGGCTTCGTTTAAGCCAGTTACTCCTGAAGTTTGGGATAAGATTAACCCAACTTGAACTCTTTGGCTAACAAATTCCCTAAGAAGGGAAAAGGAAGTGGGGATGCTTTGTGACAACCAGCCAACCTTCTTTCCAGAGGTGAGACCACAGTGAAACAGAGGATGAGGAAGAATTGCATGTGCTTTTAGAAACTGGGATAGATTTCTTTCTTTTTTTTTTTTTTAAAGTTTTTTTATTTAGTTATTTGAGAGGAAGAGTTACAGACAGTGAGAGGTAGAGACAGAGAGAGATCTTCCATCCGTTGGTTTACTTCCCAGATGGCCACAATGTCCGGAGCTGTGCTTATCCGAAGCCAGGAGCCAGGTGCTTCTTCCCGGTCTCCCATGTGGGTGCAGGGGCCCCAGGAGTTGGGTCATCCTCTACTGCCATAGCAGAGAGCTGGATTGGAAATGGAGCAGCCGGGACTTGAACTGGCATCCATATGGCCCCTATCTTCCTTTTTTTTTTTTTTTTTAAAAAAAAAAAAAGGATTTATTTATTTACTTATTTGAAAGTCAGAGTTACACAGAGAGAGAAGCAGAGGCAGAGAGAGAGAGAGAGAGAGAGAGAGAGAGGTCTTCCATCTGCTGGTTCACTCCCTAATTGGCCACAGCAGCTGGAACTGCGCCGATCTGAAGCCAGGAGCCAGGAGCTTATTCCAGGTCTCCCATCTTCTACTGCTTTCCCAGGCCATAGCAGAGAGCTGGATGGGAAGTGGAGCAGCCGGGACTTGAACCGGTGTCCATATGGAATGCCGGCACTTCCAGAGGAAGGTAGGGGGGCTGGCACTGTGGCGCAGCGGGTTAATGCCGACCCCTCTACCTACCGTTCTGAAATTAACTTTTATTCTTCTAGATTTCACTCCCTTAATTTGGTACCATCCAGCCTTTCAAAGCAACACATTGTTTTGGTTAGCTGCATAGAATATGAAGCAGAATCAATAAATTATTAGCACCAATAAGAGTTCAACAAAGTTATTGGCTACAATATCAACATATAAAAATTAATGGTTTTCTATCTCATCACCAGTAAGCACCTAGAAAATATAAAAGGAAACATCATTCACAGAATCATTAAGTACCATAGAACAAACCACACAACAAATGCACCTTATTTTTGTATGGAGCGCAATTTTAGATTATCGAAAAATAAAAAGAACTAGCTCAGTGAAGAGATTTACCTTATTCATAACTGAGGTGACAGTATTGTGAAGATGCTAATTTCTTCCAAATTACCTACAGAATCCATGAAATAGCAGCGCTCCAACAGGGCGGCTGTGTCCCTGAACTGTAAACTTTACGTGAATGCATCAGTCCATGGAAAATCAAGGAAATGTTGCCACAGGAAAATAAGAGATATTAAAATATATGAAAATACAACAGAGGGTGGGCACTGTGGCACAGTGGGTTAAGCAGCCAGGATGTTTTTGGGATCACTTTGCTTCCTTAAATCTTCAGTTTGATTATACAGGAGTTAGCATGATTTGCTCTATTTTGATTTGGTTTGGTCTCTTGGGGCCTAGTGCAGCAGCTCAGTCCCAAACAATGGTCTCCCATGATTTTTGGTTAACAAATCCTTACCAACAAAGGGCAAGGGACAAGTGAACTCTTCAGAAGCTAAGTGCTAAAAGAGGTAGTGGTGGCTGTGAACCCGGATACTGTACACCTTGCTGAAAAACAACTAGGAAAATGTAATTGGAAACTCCCAAATTCATTAAAATTAAGGGACTTTTAGGCTTTTCTGTCCTATTGGCCCTCTCCGCTACTGTGGTCTCTGACCCCTGTTTTGTGAAGCCACAAATTTTGCTGTGTGTCCATGACCCTTTGAGGTGTTGTCTGGGGGCAGTCTTGCTACATAACAGTCAATCTCCGAAACCAGGATGCATCAGCTACAGCTGTTTGGACAACTGCTAAAAGGTCTGTCAACTTCATTTCCTTCTAATAGGAGGATTGTATTCAAGCCACTTGAAAGATTTGTTTCAGGGGCATGTGTTTGGCCTGGCAGTTAAGATGCCTGCGTCCCATGTCCGAGTGCCTGCTTCATCAGCTACCTCTGCCTCCTAACTGTAGCTTCCTGTTAATGCAGACCCTGGGAAGCACTGGTGAGGGCCCAAATAACTAGGCTTCTGCCACCTATGTTAGAGACCTGGATTGAGCTCTGAAGGCTGAAAATGTCCAGAGTAATTCTAAAGCACCCCTCAAGGGGCTGGGCTCACCTCCATTGAGAATCCTCGATTGGCCCTTTTGTTTAAATTTCCCCCTGATTGATGCAAGTGTTAAGCCATATGTCAGGGATCTTCTAAATCTAGAAAGGGTAGAACAGTGGAGGTGCAGTAATAGTGATGAAACTTGCCCCACTTTGATATCAGTAAACTGGTTGAAATTATGGAGTTGTAGGCAGTTTGTAGGAGATTTACCTTTCCACTTGTGACTGTCACCAGGTCTTTAAGATGCCTCATTAGGGAAGTCTGGGGCCCTTGAATATCCTTGCTGGGCTCACAAAATCAGGGATGTCCTACTTACTCCCTTTGGATTTTTTTCTAAAGTAGTGATAAGAACACTTATCCAGATGGTAACAGATTGGTTAACTTTATTTGTAGTCTAGGAAATAAAATGAATAAACAAAAATGATGTGGATAAGGAATGAAATCCAATCTCTCCGGACAGATGGGAACATTCACCACCATGCTAAAAAGAAAGGAGATGGGGCTTTAAATCTCAAATAGGCACCTCCTTCAATGGCCTACTTCTACCCTGGGCCCAGCTAGGCACAAGGCATTGACTACTTTTATCCCATTTGCTCCCAGGCTACACCACGTGCTCCTGGCCTCCTGCAGCAGTATGAGAGTGGAAAACCAGCCTAGGAGTGGCAGGTAGGCTGCAGAAATGTTGGAAACATTGTTGACTGTCCACTCCCACCTTCTGCCCTACAAAACCACCTGTGCCCCACACCAAGGTTCTGGCGGGTGGGATTCTAGCCACAGTTTCCCCCTCCTCCCACCAGTGGGAGGAAGTTGGGTGGCAGCAGCTGAGACGTGTTAGGCTGTGACCCCCAGGAGTGGGGGCAGCCAGAGCCCAGGAGGATTATTAGCCTTTCATGTTCTAGCCAGGTGCCTTCTCTGCTCTGACGCCAGTGTGCGGAAGGCAGGGAGTAAGATGCAAAGAATTGACAGGCACAAATAAAAACGCAGCCAGTGGGATACAGGGCCCAGCTTAACTCCAGGCTGCAAGGCGGGGCCTGGTGCTGTTTGAGCCCCAGCACCATGGACGGTATTGAGGGCCACAACATCAAGAGCTTAGTGCTGGGAAGGAAGAAGAATATACAGTAAAAGCAAGACACGAGCTTTGGCTGGGAAGTTTGAGAAAGAAACCTTAACCTCATGGTTCTCATGTATACCAGCAAATTCATCTTCTGGCACCGAGATCACCTGTATCATTGTGGGACCCGATGGAAAATGAAGATGTAGTCACTTTGATACAAACAAGAGAAGTGTTGTTAAAGCAGAGAAGGTTTTTCCTTCCTTCCTTCCTTCCTTCCTTCCTTCCTTCCTTCCTTCCTTCCTTCCTTCCTTCCTTCCTAGTTGTCTCTCAATTTGCTGCTTAATGTCATTCAATGAAAAGAAAAATTAAGAATCTAAATATTAGCATAGTTTTTACCCATTGTTTCTATTGTATGCATTATTCTGCTTTTTATTACTATGAAGAAATACCCAAGGCAGCCTAACTTCATAAAGAAAATAAACTTGTTTGTTTCATGGTTCTCGAGGTGCAAAGGCTAGGCGCCTCATCTGACAATGGCCTGCTTGCTGTAGTGTGTAGTGCCACAAGGCAAGAGAAATGGAGTGTGCGTATCTCTCTGTGGTGTCTCTCCTTGTAAAGCTACCAGGACCCAAGGCCCTAATCCAACCTCAATCACTTTCCCAAGACCTGGTCTCTAAACACCATGGGCAGATTAATTTCCTCTTACTACAAATTACAAAGGCTTTGGGGAATAAACTCCCCATGAGTTTGGGGAAGGGGTGTGGATGGGTGAGGGGTGCAAATCCTATTCAAACTATAGCATTGTGCAATTCCTGTTTCAGATGCTGATCAAGTGCTCACTATTGCCCATTTCTTCTCCTGTGCCTTGTCTTGGTCTAACTTGGGCTTCTCTTGCCCAGGCCTGTGAACTTTGAACTTTGCCCAGGCCTTTGAACTTGGACCTGCCTCTGTGCCTGCACCAAGAGCTAAAATGCAGAACATGCACCCCTTACCAGTGTATCACGAGAACTTGCTGAGCAGATGAAACACATTTCCTGGGAAACTGCCCCAACCATGCTCTCTGTTCCTTCCAAGTGGCTTGCCCCACTTCTCCTTAAAAGTGTCTGCTAAGCCCTGCTGATCCTCCCCTCCCCCCCATCACAGAAATGTTCTTTTCTATTTGATGCTGAGACTCTTGGTGGATTTCTGAGATCAGAGCATTCCACCGACTCGAAACAGTCTTTTTGAAAAGTCCCTGCTGACTTAAGTCCGGATTTGCGTAAGTCCGTCTCAGCTGTAACTCATGTACAGAATCATCAAAAGTGCGCCATTCCTGTTTCGTGGCGCTCTCTGCCCTTGGCAGAACAGTGGAAACGCGGCACAAGCTGAGCTCAGCTGTTTGTATGTCCCTTCTCGATACACACATTCTGTCGTGCCCTTCTACCTCGGCCTGCTGATGCGTGGGGAAGAAGGACAAGGAACCATGGTTGCTCTGTCTCCCTTCCTTGACTGGCACCATTCGCATCACAAATAGAGGCTAACAGAGAAAGTACTAAGACAAAGGCCATGATAGGATTCTTCGGTCCCTCGTGTTTCTTAGAACACTTGCTCGCTTCTTGCCTTTGAAGCAAACTCTGGTTTCTGTTCAGCTTATTCAGCCACAGAAGCCGGTGCTCACCCTCCAGTCACTGTGACTCTCTCTTAAGTCCCATTGCACGGCGCATCTGCCCTGAGTTCTGGGCTCATCAGGCATCACACACGCATTACATACAGGTGGATGACAAGGACAGCAGACAAGAATATTGCTTCTCTGATCACGCACAGGCATCAGACTGTGCTGACAAAGCATACACTCAAAGATAAACATTTAAACTGGTAAGAACATTTTTCAGAGCCTCTAAAGAGATTCTAACATATGCTTGGAGTGGTTAAAGCAACTGTTGTAAGATCATTTTCCAGAATATGCTGTCTATGGCACTCAGACGTGTCTCCCTGGTGGTCTAGTGGCTAGGATTCGGCGCTTTCACCGCCGCGGCCCGGGTTCGATTCCCGGTCAGGGAAGCTGCCTTACTCATTTTCCACAGTGGCTGCAGCTCTTCAGTTTTGGCCAAGGCTCAGCCGTATGCACTCCACAAGTCACCACTGAGGTCCCCCGCTGAACTACAGCAGATTCCAGGGAACGGGAAACCTGTATGGAATTAAAGATTTCTCCATGCAGTTTCATACTCTCTTGCTCACTCTGAAGAGAATTACTGATTTTTTAAAAATAAATTATTACAAGTAATTATTGCATGAAACAAATGAATTATTTCAAATGACTTCTACCTGTAGAAAGGTTTGATTGGCATAGGCCCACTTTTAACTCACGTCATTTTCGCCCACTCTTTGCAACACTAAGATCATTACAGTAATTGAAGAGATGTAGACTGGTAATTTGACCAGACCCATAGCTGTTTTCACTGGTAGTTGCAGCCAGTTGTCCCAAATGTCCTGATTATGGAGTCCAATCGATCCATTATATTTACTTACACGTTTCAAGCATGGAAAACCACTCTGAATCCATTTGGTCTTTTGTAAAAATGGGAACTCACTTCAATACAATAATGAACCAATTCCCTTTATCTGTAAGATGAACTATAAAATAGATTAAGTGATCTTCTTACAAGGACAAACATTCCATGGCCCCCTGTGACCTTTCCCTGGGATTCCCCAAACCGACCTCAGGATCACCTGGCTCAAGTCTGAAATGCGTGTGGACTTTGCTGCCCTGAACTGAAGCTCAGGGAGCCTTCACTCAGGCAGCCTCACAGTGAGAAACAGGTAACGCCTTGGCGAGAAAACGGTGCCTTCTCTGAACTCGTCAGTAGGGGGCGTCAGAGGTAGAGTAGAATCTTGGCTAAAACTGAAGTGCCTCCAGGCACTGCAGGAAAAAAAAAAAAAAAAAAAAAACCCTCTAAAAATAACTTCCCTGACCGGGAATCGAACCCGGGCCGCGGCGGTGAAAGCGCCGAATCCTAGCCACTAGACCACCAGGGAATGGTAGGTAACAGATGTAGGCAACATGTTCTGGAAAAGATGATGGGGATGGTTCAAGCCTGTTTTAGAAACTTCCGGCCTGGCCGAGGAGTACTTTGAATTGGTACAGGTGGTGCTAGGTGGTGCAGGTGGTGCAGGACTGTGCCACGGGTAGGGGTGGCAGGAAGCCTTAGTGGCAGAAAAGTTGGAGGGAGCCAATGAAGCCAGATGTGAAGACAATCTGTCCTGCACCAGTTTTGTTACTGATCTCCTCTGACCCCTGGCATTTCTCAAACTTGCCCTCCCTCCCTCCCTCCCTTTTCTCTCTCCTGTTCTTCATTCCTGGAATCTGTGTGCCGCTACCACTTCCACCGTGTCCCTAGAGTTGACTGAAGACAATGGGTCCCTCCTTTGCCCCCTTCCCACCCCCAGCAGTTCTAAGTATGCCCCTCCCTAGTGTAGAGGCACGAGCATCAGGGCCCAGAGGACATGCAACCTGGAGCTGCAGCCCTCTTCCAAGCCATGCTCTGTTCTGGGGGCCCTGAGCAGGACCTGCCCAGATGCCTGCAGCCTGCAGATGGCTCTCCCCAGCATCACTATTGCTGGAGGTGGAGCCGGCCTCCAGTGTGTGCAGGGGAGCATGGCTGTTGGCAAGGGTTTGGACAGAACTTCGACCAAGCGGGTGCCCATCCACCTGCACAAGACCCTTCTTGGTGCGGGAGGGAGCCAGAGTGGAGTGAAGAGACTCGCTCTGTACCACCATGCTCGGGCACAGAGTGTGAGGAGTCTTATAATTCTACACGCACACCTGGCCTCACGAGTCCTTACGAGGGTATTTTCATCAAGGTGGGAGGAAAGATATGATTTTTGTTGACTGTTTTTGCTGAAATGCTAAGTTTAAAATATATTCAGACGTCTTATATGTGGGCCTCCATCTGTGTTCTTCCCACAAAGACCAGTGCACACCTCCTCGGACCTGCGGGCCCAGCCTTGGATCTGACTTGGAGAATCCTCACGACTATTAGATCCGAGGTCACTGTCTCCCACACTAGGATCTTCTCCACTCCTCAGCCAGGAACCTTCCCAGGAGTTCCAGCCCTGGTGAGTCACAGCACCCTTGGAAGAATATGCTCATAACCTTTCCCTACCCATGACACCTGTTAAATCTGCAGTCTTTTTGTTGTGCCTGAGTGAGTGCAAACACAGGAGCACCACACACTGGTAAAATCTGACAATCCTTTATGGCTGGAGGGGAGAGCGACCCCAAAGCTCAAAGCAACAGGGTTTATAACCACTAAGAGGGGAGGGTATACACGATTGCTAGGGTCAAGCTGACCTAAAGTGTATGCAAAACTACTTCCAATTACAATCTTGACATTAGTCCAGGTACTGACCCAAATCATATGTGGGAGGGACATAGGCCAATTACAATCTTGACATTACTCCAGTGCAGCCTGTTTTAAGCTTGAGCAATCATGTTAGGGGATTTTTATGTTTTGCCAAGCAGAATTGGTATTGTCCTAGTTTTAGACCATAGTTAATTTCAGACCATAGTCTCACAGTGGGGGTTGTGCTTTCTCAAGTTGGAGTCTTGAGTGCTCTAAAATGGAGTCCCTCTTGTCAATCAGAGTCACTTCACCTTGTGTTTTGACCTTGACAGCTTCCCCTCCGTGAGCCACTGCCAAATCCCGAGAGGAGGATTCTGCAGTTCAAGTACCCCATGAGGTTTGAAGGGGTGTGCATTTTCCCAATTAGAAAATACCATAAAACTACTTTGGTTTCCTTTAATCCCAAGAACCCTCAGATTCCCTGAAAGAAAGAACTTGTAAAGTTTTGCACTGGGTGAATGTTCTAATAGAGTTCTCCAGAGAAACAACCAATACATGGATGGAGCTGATAGATAGATATAGAAAGGTGGATGGATAGATATACAGATAGATGCATGGATAGGTACATAGACAGATAGTTGATAAGATATCAGCTCCCAGGATTATGGAGGCCAACAGTCCCAAGATCACAGGGTGAGTTCACAAACTGCCTCTACTCTGTTAGAGTTTGGACAGGATTTGGTTCCTCAAACTCAGGTTTAACCCCCCAAAATCTAATGTTAACAGTTAATGGGTTAATGTTAATTGTTGATGGATTAGAGTAGAGGCTTGATCCAGTTATGATGTCTGAAAGGGGGGAAGCAGTTGGGAAGCAGTTGGATTGCACTGGAGTGCTAGGGTGGGCCCTGTGGTCGAATCACGATGGAATGTTATGGAGACTACATAGAATCATAGAAGGTAAATAAACAGCATGCTCCTATATCTCTCTGCTTCCTGACTCGCCTCTGACCGTTCATCTGCCATCCTCCAGCTTCGCCAGATGTCCACACCAATGGGGGTCCCCAATCTTGAACTATGAAAATCCAAAGCAGGGTGAGAGTTTGGCACAGTGGTTAAGACACTGCTTGGGACGCCCACATCCCACTTGGAGTGCCTGAATTTGAGTTACAACTCTATTTCCAATCAAGAATTCCTGCTAATGTGAACCTTGGGAGGCAGCAGGTGATGGCCTTAGTACTTGGGTCCTTGCCATTCACACGGGAGACCTGGATTGGATTCTGGATTCTTGACTTCAGCCTGACCCAGCCCTAATTATTGTGGGAGTGAACCAGTGGATGGAAAATCTCCTCTGTCTTTTTGCCTTTCAAATAAAAGTGAATAAATAATTAAAAGTTTTTAAGAAGGAATAAAACTGTAGGATGAAATAAACATTCTTCCCTCCTAATGTGCTCCTGTGAGATATTTTAGTTAAAGTAACAAAAAGCTGACTAATACACACCCCAGTAGAGCCCCTTCACTATTCTAGACACACATATTTTCCCATTATCAGTATCTAAATTGTAATGGCCTTGGCTATAAACAGCATAAGTAAACTCTATCAAATGAGCAGAAAAGGAACTAATCAAGAGGTTATTGGGTAAGTCACAGATTACTGAGCACTAGATGCAGATAAAAGGATTATCAAGGGGGAAGTGTCAGGGCTCAGAACATGGTATCCCCAAATATGGTACTTTGCATAGTGAATATTTTAAGCTGCAGGAATTTGATGCTGCTTGTGACCTAGCGCCCTGTATTGGAGTGTTGGCTTGAGTCCTGGCTGCTCTGCTTCCAATCCAGCTCCCTGTTAATGTGCCTGGGAAAGCAGCAGAGGATGGTCCAAGTACTTGGGCCCCTGCCGCCCATGAGGGAGAATTGGATAGAGTCTCAGGTTCCTGGCTTTGGCCTGGCCTAGCGGCCATTTGGAGAATGAACCATCAGATGGAAGACCTCTCTCTCTCTCTCTCTCTCTCTCTCTCTCTCTCTGTCTCTCCACCCTGTCTCCTGTAACTCTCTACCTTTCAAATAAAGAAATAAATCTTAAAAAAAAATAAAAATAAAGAGGATTTCCCTGATCAACCTTCCTGAAAAGTGGGCCACGTGGGCCTCATTCCACAGTGGTCCAGCCCTATACTCACAGGCCAAGAAGAATCTGAACAAACAGATCTTGCTTTATCATCACTGACTGAGACCCTCTGTCCCCCAGCCACACTGCTGTGTGACAGTCCACACAAACGAAGTTTTCCCGGGGTCTTTGGGTCTTCAATTCTGATGGTACCAGTGCCATATGAAACTTGGGTTGAACAATTTGTTATGCTTCTCTCCCATTAAATTCTGTTACAGGTGTCTCAGTCATGAGCCTTACCGAAGGAAATACTTTATTTTTTCTTGCCCACAGGAGCCAAGAGGCCAGAAATACATAAGTCAAACTTATGCCAAGGAAGTGTTTGGTTAGGAGCCTACAGAAACTGTCCAAGATGGATATTGGTTTTGGTTTTCTGGATAAATTAAAGCTAAGTTGACTGATTCATTGGCTCTTGACTCAGAGTGTAGTTTACAACTGGCTGAGCTAAAAACACATATTAATGTAGAAAATATGTCTTCTTTAGAGGAAAGTGGTTCCTGAGCCTCATCCAAGCTTGTGTTTGTATTTCTCAAGCTTGGAGGACCACAAGAATGAGAAAAATCTAGTGCCACTGGTTTTGATTTTGGGATCAAAGAATTTTTACTTCCCTTGGTAGGTAACTCAATCCATTTTTAGATGCGTGGTCTTGCGGATATTTTAGCTTATTTTATTTCAGTGTAGGATGTGGGGGACACAAATTTGAGAACTGCCTGTATCACTGCAGACACAGGAGCAGTGAGATCGCAAAACAGCACAACATCAAACAGGAGTCGATTGTCCCAGACGGTGATTTCTGGGCCCTTACTGTAGCTCTGTGTGTAAGAGCAGTGTCCAGCTACAAGTGAGGAGCTGGATTTAAATTAGGACACAGTAATGCATGGAATACTGGCCTTTGGAGGAGTTAAAAATATACCACTCTGGCACACTGACTATTTAAGTTAAAGGGCACTTGAAAAAAGGGTACAAAAAAGCTCACTCTGAACTCCCTACTATTTCTTAAAAGCAGGGGTTGAGATGCCTATGTGAAAGGTCCAACATCCCTATCCTCAAGGGGCAGTCAAGAGAATTCTGTGTCAACCTTGTTACAATGACTCTCCTTTTAAATATTTAAATATCTATTTATTTTATTTTGAAAGCTAGGTTTGAGGAGAGAAGAGACAGAGCAACAGAGAGACAGAGCTCTCCCAACTGGTGGTTCACTCCCTAAATGCCGGCAATACCTGAGGCTGGGCCACTTTGAAACCAGGAGGCTGGAACTTAATGCAGGTCTCCCACGGGTGTTGTAGGGTCCCAGCTACTTGAGCCATCACCTGCTGCCTCCCAGGGTGAGCAGGACCAGGAAGCTGGAATCAGGGCTGGGCTGAGACTTGAGCCCAGGCACTCTAATATGGGATGAAGGCATCCCAAGTATCATCTTAACCATCGCACCAAACCCCTGCCCCTTGTCAAAATAACTTATCCTGGGGCCGGTGCCGTGGCTTGCTTGGTTAATCCTCCACCTGAGGTGCCGGCATCCCATATGGGCGCCGGTTCCAGTACAGCTCTCTGCTGTGGCCCGGGAGTGCAGTGGAGGATGGCCCAAGTGCTTGGGCCCTGCACCCGCATGGGAGACCAGGAGAAGTACCTGGCTCCTGGCTTTGGACTGGCGCAGCTCCAGCTGTAGCGGCCATTTGGGGAGTGAACCAAAGGAAGGAAGACCTTTCTCTCTGTCTCTCATTGTCTATAACTTTACCTGTCAACTAAATAAAAAATTAATTAAAAAAAAAGAAATAACTCATCTTTTAAGCAGAACACATCGCTTCTTCACAGCTGTCTACTCTGTTCAGTTCAGCACGGAAGTTAGCGGTAGCTGCTTTGTGTCTTCATTTCCCTAAGAAAGCTTCTGTGCCACATACAACTTGCATGGAAAACTTGTGAACGCTTTTTTCCTATTAACTTATTTTACATTGATTTAATTCTCCAGCCCATGCAAGAACCTAAGAGGATAGAGGTGGAGTTTACTGTCCTTAACACCCTTGAAAATCGGGCAGAGGTGCTGGGTTGCTGCAGCTGTTTGGTATGTTATGAGATTTGATTGAGGGGGGAAAACACACACAGTTGTTTTCTGCAATTCCAGCGCCACCTGCTAAGACTCACCGGCCGTGAGCTTCTCAGGGAAAGACGCAGAGGCTTGCTTTAGAGGGGAAAAGTGCACGCGCCTCTATTCCAGCCCCTGATAGCTGCTAATAAAATGTATAGAGAGTAGTCGGGGCTGGGGAACTTGTTATATCAGATAACCAACCTGTAGGCTTTGGTTAGAAGTGGAACTTGCATTTGAGAAGAAAATTTGACAAAAGTAAGACACACAGAACATCCTCAGCTGAGGATGTGAACCAGGAGTTCCAGCCGTCCCTGGGTGGGCTCGAACCACCAACCTTTCGGTTAACAGCCGAATGCACTAACCGATTGCGCCACAGAGACCTGCCCTATGGCCTCATGCCTTGCAGATTGTACTTACAGGTCTTTAGTGACACCAACATTCTTGCTGCCTGGATTTCCTCACTCCGCGATTGCAACTTTAGGTGTGAGTTGGGTAATTCTAAGCCCCAGAACTTCAAACCACCCTCACTGCATGATCTTGAAGTCCTGCCTGCTTTCTCTTCCCAGTTCCTCAGCGACAGCAGAAAATGATGCTGCTTTCTCCAAAGCTGAGACTCAGATCCAGAGAAGAACCAAGTTCACCACCAGCTTGAGGAGCT